GAAGCCTAGGTGACTCCAGAATGGGGGACTATCCTGGATCATGCTATATGCTAAATCAAGACGAAGTAGTACAGTAGACACAGGTTTCTCACTGGATGACACATTAATAACACATACATGCTGTGCTTCTGAAACCGTTGTGTACAAAGTATCTTGAAAGGGGATATATATAAAAGGACCGAATCCCACGCCTGCAGACGCTGTAACCGGGAAAGGATAAAAAGTCCTAACCACGACTGCTTCTTTTTAAGAACCGTGAGTCAGTTCTCGCCTAGCATAGTGACCCTCTCTCAATGTCTTGATACAGACTATGCATCTTCCCATCTCAAGATATATCACTTTCCTTTTGGCATTGGGAATGCTTGCAACAGCCCAAGTGGCATCCAGGTCTATTAAATGCGCTTGCGACGGTATCGCCGAAAATTCTCAGTCTGCCTGTGTTCAGATTGGTGGAAGCTTTAATGAGACGGGTTGTGGATTTGCAGGTTGCTGTGTTTATGCCAACAACGAACAAACTAGGTTCATTGAGACTTGTAGGGCACTTGGATATGGTTTTAGGCGCTGCGATGATTGCCGATCTTGTTGAGACGACAGAGGTGCTCGCCTTGTGGAAAGTATAGTAAGGCAGACATTTCGACTTTTACAATTGGAAGCGAACATTCCATTGCTCTGCGTGTATCGTATCGTGTCGTGTCATGTTCAAGATATATTACCATGAGTGATGGAACCAGATATTTTGCTTTGGTGTAAAGTGTAAACCGAGATCCTGCTGCTGATGTATTATTATGTTCTAGATTAAGGATACGCGAAAGGAATATCTGCATCAAGCTTGCATGGCCAATTTGAACTGTCCACACAAAATCAGTGGGGTATCTTTCAGGCCGTTGGACCTTTCAAGGTTGGCCAAAATGGCTATACCGGTTGCCGGGTATATCTTATTCAAACTTTCTAAAGCGTGCTGAGGATCTCGCCAGTCTCGCTGACAAGGTGGTTGTCAACCTTGACGGGACCTTCTCCGACGCCAGTCAGGATGACACGGCTCACACCATCCTTCAGAACTTCGACAGCGCGAGAATCAACCTGATCCAAAGAAACACCGGCAGTGACACTGGCGATTCTCTCGTAGAATGCGCCATCCCATCCCTCCGTATTAGGGCCCAGAATAGCCTTGACAGTGCCAGCTACAAGCTCGGAGTCCTTATCTTCATAGTAGATGACAGCATTTGGGCCAGCATCGAAAGTGTAAGCACAAACTGTCCGGCCAACAGCACGGTTGATGTCATGCACAAGGCGGACGGCAGCACGAGAGACGTCGTTCATGTAGAAGATAGGAGGCCATGAGTCGAGGCAAGTGGCGTGGAAAGTGTTGGAGTCCCGCATGGTAATTTCCGCGAAGTCGTGGAAGTTGCGGTTCTGAATAGCGGTTTCAATGGCAGTCATACGCCCGGGAACGACGTTCTGGGCACGCTCTGCGAAAAGAGCAGATGTGGCCACAGTGGTTTGCATTCCCTGGGTGCTAGGCACATCCTTCTTCTCGGCACTGACAACAAGAACAAGAGCGCGCATCTCAGGCCAGTGCGATGCAGGGGCAACTTCTTCAGCCAGGCTGTCACTTCCATCAGCAAGCTCACCCGTGCGCCATGCGACATATCCGCCCATCAAGGAGCGGCAGGCAGATCCAGAGCCTTGGCGCGCAATGCGGCTCAGCTCCTTAGGGGACTGGGGTAGTTCATAAAGGTCAGCTACAGCGCGGACTAACGCTGCGAAGCCAGCGGCAGAGCTGGCAAGACCGGCGGCAGTAGGGAAGTTATTCTCAGAGACGATGCGGAGAGGATAGGCAGAGAGCGTGGGCAGTGAGGAATCGGCATCCTCAAGGGCCTTGCGAAGGGCACGGAGGCTGGAGATACAAGCCAGTGTCCGCTTGGAAGACTGGATATCCTGTGGACTGCCGTTCAGGTTCAGGGTGTCCGCAGCTGGGTATTCGGCAGAGCAGGAGGCCGTGGTCAAGGTACGGAGAGAGCGCTGGGAGAGTGTGACTGAGAGGGAGGAGTTTGTCGGGAGGTTAAGAGTAGTATCACGCTTGCCCCAGTATCTAGAGAGCTGTTAGAACCGAACTATTTGGTATAAAGGGGAGGGGTAATCAAAGAGCGGCATACTTGATGACAGCAATGTTCACCGGAGCAGTGGTAGTGGCCCGATAAACAGACTGGCTCGATGTAGACGGCATTTTGAATTCAGATGAACAGAAAGAAAGAACCTCAATAATTTTCTAAAGCACTATGAAAGACAGGGGAGATTTACTTAGGGGGATTGTTGATTTGTCGGGGCGGTGAGAGGGCAAAATAATTTCTACAGCGTAGTTCTAGTTCCGCGATCTATCGGTGCGCCGATCAACATCCTCCAGTCACTGACCTCGCACTTATTCAACAATGGGAGCTGCAGCAAGTACACCCTCTGCGCCCTCTGCGGAGCCACCTGCAGCAACTTGTCCTGTGGACCACAAAACCCGTGAGGTCTGGCTGCAACAAAATAAAAACTCACCTCACCCTACCTCCGATGTCTCTGCCGAACAGGGACAACCACGTGCCAAAGCACAACGACCCCTATCAACAGACCGCGAAGTGAGCAATATTCCTCGAGCTGGTGATTTCAGCTCAGCAAGTGTTTGCCCTGAGGCCAACAAAGCTTCTTCGTCCCCATACGCTGCGTCACATGGTAGCCCATCCAATGCCGAATCCGAGACTGGCCGCGATGAAGCCACCGGAAATTGGATCTATCCGTCGGAGAAGCAATTCTTCGAGGCCTTGATGCGCAAGGGTAATACCCCTGGATCTGCGGCCTCGGCCTCGGAGCTCGCGACTTCGGTGGCTTCCATCATTCCCATTCACAATGCCGTCAATGAACGCGCATGGGATCAGATCCTCGAATGGGAGAAAAACGGTCCCACGGCTGACCCCGGGAGTAAGAAATGCGGAGGACCAAAATTATATTCTTTCCGGGGACTTGGAGTCGATCCAAAGTACTTAAGTCCGCGTGCACGAATTAATGGATGGCTTGGCTACCAGCACCCATTTGATCGACATGACTGGATTGTTGAGCGTTGCGGTGGTGAAAAGATTGAATATGTTATCGATTTCTACCAGGGCAAGCCATCGGGAAGCAATGGAACCCCACCAGGCCTGGCTGCCAATGCTAATTCCAACCCAGGGAAGCTTAGTTTCTTCCTTGACGTTCGGCCCAAATTGAACACTTATGAAGGCTGGAGGCTGAGGTTCAACCGCTTCACGGGCCTATAAGGGCATCATTGACGATCGTCTTTTAGCGGAATATGCTTTCGCACTGCACATACAAAGGCGACAACGGAGCACGGGCAGGATTTGGTACCCAATTGGGTGTATTTTGCATGTATAACACATAATTCTGTATGATATCAGGCTACAGGATTAAGAGACAGCGATGAATTAATGTTCTCCATTCTATTCACACAGAATGTCGGCAAGGGAAGCGTAGAATAGAAGGATAATGAAACGAAGCAATAAGGTGAGGTGCTTGACTAACGAAAGCGCAATCATGCAAAAGGGATATCGTGCGCATACATGACAACATTACAGACGAACACCGCGACGGTAGCCAATAAACAAAAACGAGAAGAGGGAAAATATCTATCCAAGGACAATTGCGAGCACAATGATAGCAAGGATAACAGCAAGAATTACAAAGAGACAGCAAGCCCTGTTGCGAGCATTCTTCTGATATCTGCTGGCACTGCGTAACTCGACATTGGCGCCTCGTGTGTCCTGGGTGACATTTTGGACATTCTCGCTGATGATATCCAACTGCCCCCCTTGTTCCGTGACGATGTGCGCAACATCCCGGAAGAGCTCGTTCAGCTCTCCGACGCTTTGCTCAATGTTCCGGATCTCTGCCTCACGCTCGATGATCAGGGACTCTTGGAAGTCCACCTCGCCCTGATTGGCCATACGGTGTTGCTCCTCCAATATCTGCTCTTGTAGTTGGACATCATTTTCAGAGGAAGGTTCGCCTTCATCAAAAACTGTACGTGCAGCAACCGCAGAAGTGCGCTCTTTCTCAATTGCGCGACGCTGAATAGTTTGAAATTCATCCAAGGTGGCTTTGAATTCGGATGATAGTTTTTGCTGTGTCCATTTCTGGGAGGGCTGTGAGGGTGTTAATTAAAAAAAAACCCCCGCCAGTGAGTGGAATCAGATAGATCATACATTAACGTCCTCCCATGTCTGGACCTGCTTAATCCCTTCTCCTACTTCTCTGAACCCTGTACGGGTCTCTTCGAGCAAAGTATGAACTCGTTCGCGCACACGATCTGTGTCTCGTTTGCTGCCGAGAAGTCCAATTTGGCTGGATAGGCGAGAGATGTTTGATGTCAATGTGAATAACTGGTCTGAAAGCTGCTCGGCCAGATGGTCGAAGTCCGGATCGTCACGGTAATGCGGGTCTTCATCCCTACGCATGGTGGTAGGCTGAGCCTCCAACGAGTTTAACCTGTCAAAAGACATTCTATATGTAATCAAAAGGCAGAAAGGCAGTGAATCAGTGTAAAAATGAAGACAGAAGAAGACAGGATAATCAACGTGTAAGCTGCAGGTCCCTGCTGCCTTCGATAAGCCTCGTTGGTGTGCAGACCGCCCTCACATGACGTACATCTAAGCCACTAGGCTCGATATAGACTAGCCCTGTGGAATAATGCACCTTGAGCCATATGCATCACGTGACTATATGTGGCTAGTGTGTTTTGATGCCTCAAAATATTCCCAGGCGGACCTCGCCGTTAATTGATCCAATCCGACCAGCTCAACACAGCCAGTTGTCAGCCTGACCATTCGTCCACAACAAAAACCCTGGTCCGATAATCTTTTTCCACAGCTTCCGGAGCTCTGCCTACGACGATCATCCTGATCATGCTCTAATCTTCAACTATTTCATTCTTTCCACGAGCGCATTCTACTAAACAAGCTTACATCATGGCCGTAGTACAAACTCGGCCCTACAGGCGAATCCTGACTTCGGCCTTGCACCGAAGATTTGTTCATGCATCTGCACTTTCACTGCTGGTCTCTTATATCACCGCAATTGTGGTTGGAGAGAAATCGTCTTGTGAGTGAACCTTGTTGAATCGCGCCTCGAAGACTCTCTAGAAAGTACAAAGAACTGATAAAAGTATCCTAACCAGTCTTCTGGTTATGGTTTCCTTTGGGCAGTTGTGGTGTTCGAACCGCGCTCCTCTTCATCTCGTCGCTCACCATTTTTGTCCTTCGCGTCAGTCAAATGCACATTGGTTCGAGAACAGCTACTTCCTCGTTCGGCACTTTGAAATCCTTCACTTTATTACAAATCGCGCAAACATTTGGCTGGTACCTCTTCTCGGCATGGTGGTTCACTCAAGTCTACGTATGGTCGTCTTCGCTTGATTCTAACCTCGAGCTTGTGAAACGGGGCAGGTGCGTTAGGTATCCTCCAAATGACTTACTCCGATCCGGACTACTAATGAAATACAGGCCACACGAGCGACCGACCCTGAACGAAAGGCCCATTTACCTTAACTCCTTCCATGCGTTTCTAGCATGTGTGCAAGCAGTGTCCCACCTCTATTACGACTACGACCGCATTGCAGTGCCCATAGCGGAACGGAGATTGAAAACAAATGACGAGCGTACCCATCCTGTCCCGCCAACCTCCAAGTATCTACAGCGTGTTTTGCCGCAAGAACTGGGGGCCGGTGCTCTCAGAGGCCTGATTGTTGCTGCAGTCTCTCTCGTGATATACCCCATATTTTTCAGGCGCTTTGCGTGGAGCTGGTCTTTGTATGTTGCCAAGCTCTTTTGGAGCTTCCCGAGATCTGCAGCCGAACCTCAGAGCTTCGTTCCCTCAATTTTCCCTTATTTTTTCTTCAAAGCTTTGGTCCCTGGAGTCATGCTTGTTCTTACATGGCAAACCGCCAACCTCTTCTATTCTGTGTTCATCGGCAAGGAGCCTCTGAAGCGTGGCCAGCCACTCACGACAGAAGCCAAGGATCCCAATGGCAGTCTCCTAAGTGGTCTCAAGGCAAAGAAAGAAGTTGTGAGGACCTTCGCGCTCTGGGAACTTAGTCTCATCAGCCAGCGCATTCCCGACCGCCGGAAGGCAATTTTCAATGAAATTGATCGCGAGGGCGGTTCAGTTTGGTCCCAGGTCCTTGCTTGCACCACTGATGTAATCAAGGCCATCAACACTCGTATCGAGGAAAGCGAAAACCCCGCGCCTGTCACCAAGCCTTTACCGCAAGCCGAGAAATCTGAGCCTGTTCTTCAAAGTCTCCCACGACTATCAGAACCGATCAAAGATGACAACATCTTCACTTCTGCCCCGAAGCCTACTTCACGCCAGGACAAATTTGGTGATGCGTTCAGCTCAGCGGCTAAATCCATCGGTCAGTCAGAAGACTGGACTCCAGCTGCCCGAGCCCGGGTCCGAGATGTCTTCGACCGGGCATCGTCAGCAATGCTTAGCCCTGAGCAGAAACAGAAATATCTCAGTTCCCCCAGAAGTTCAAGTTACTTAGCGGCGGCCCCTCCACAACTCATAAACCTGAGGACATGAACCCAATTCTGGCGCAGATTCTTCGTTCGCCTATCGGCCAACCTTTCCGTCAAACATACGCTCAGCGCCTCTCATCTATTGTTCTTGGAACACCGGAATCCTCTCTCTCATTGATTGTGGATGCTGTGGAGTCGTTGACTCGACTCCTCATTGCCAGCTTGGCCGAAGATCCGTATGGCAAAGTTCACGCCGATGTGCCCTCAGCAGTGCGGCTTTTGACCCATACCACCCTGACCCTGGATGCATTTGCCCACCAGGGTGGTTTGGATGCCCATTGGACCGATATCAACTTCCCCCATCTAGCGATCCCCAGGCGCAAGCAGTTGCCCGCCTGGTCCCAGACGTTGAAGTCGTGCTTGCTACGCTCCGTGGTGGTCTCAAGGATCTATTGACGGCCTTCAAGCCTTACTTGCGGGATATCGGTATCGCAGGCAAGGATTTGAGGCTAGCAAAGGAGGCAGCTGGCATCGACGGAGAGGAGGTATTATGATCTACGATGATCGTTCTTTTTGCTGCGATTTTTTCTAATGCTCGCTATATTTCATGATTTCTCTTCACAAAACTTCATGTATTGTTATCTCTCGTCCTATTCTCTAGTCCCATTGGGATTGATATCAGTGGACAAATGCATGGTTAGGCGTTCTGTTAAGGTGGGTGTGGCTTTGGCTGGAATACATCAGTTCTTAAACTAAATCAACACCTTATTTCCGTCAATGTGAATATCTTGAATTTCAATCTTCTAATGATTTCGATAAACCCGTTTTGCTCTTAGGAGTATGGGTCACATGACAATACTCTCAGTCAACACCAACTTCACCAAGTACCTTTACATTTGTTCTTCACGAACTTCAAGTAGCAACATTTGATTGAAACACTCCTACCCGCTTAGAGCAACCACTTTGACTTGAAATCATGTCATTGACAAACGTCTATCATGTGCGCCGTGTTGCAGACAATTCTGCAAAAGCATGTTTGATTTGCTACAAACCGTCCACCAGCGTGATGATCACACCGGATAACAAGGTATGTGATATTGATATTCTGTCTGGCATATAGAAAACCAGAAAATTTCTTCGCTTCATGGCCCTATTTTTTACATATAAGGTGGCTCATTTACTCAGGACTTCTTCTATGTGTGCCCCGCACATTTACAAGACAAACATTTCTGCTCTCCAATCATCGATACAGAGGGCCAAGCAAAACGTCTTAAGGAAGAGCAAATGGCCAAGGAGATTGAAAAAGTGAAAAGAGAGTATGAAGAAAAACAACGACGGAAGAAAGAGCGCGAGAAGGCGTCTGGCAAGGATAATAAGGAGCAGAATGATAAGGGCAAAGATGAGCCTAAAGACAAAGACAACGATACATCTGAGTCAAACGCCAGCGATGAAAAAGATAGAGATGATAAGGTTCGTGCCTTTCCACAGCGAAGGAAGTCGAATACAATGGTTCATAGGAACGTGTTGACTGATTCTCGCTGCCAGATTGCTTCTATCCGGACAGGTTCTGGGACAGAGACAAAGTCAGATGATTCACCTCGAGTTTTCTCTTTACACAAGTATGTGATGAGTATCGCTTTTCATGACAATGACGCCTAACGGTAAGACAGGAATTTCTATCAGATGCGCATCGACCGGCTACGCAACATTGAAATGGCGAAACGCAACCAGGAACGATTAAGGCAACCTTCGCTGTTCCCCTCTGTGCCGTCAGGAAATCCTTAGTCTTTTCTTTACTCTTGTCTTTTGGGCGCCAGTCTAGTTTGAGACAACAACATATTGGTTCGCCTATCGTTCTCCGCTGATATGACAGGCACACTGAAGCGGTGAGAAGACGATGTAAAAAGCACGGGAATACCTTACAACTGATACCGAGCACTTCCCGCGGCATGTTGAATCGTCCCAGAAATCACTTCTTGTCATACAATCTTACCAACCGGGTTGCGGATTCAACGGACGCAACCACGAGGAAATATTGAGTCATACAAGTTTCATATCCAGACCTATCTGTGTTTTGCTCTTAGTGGACTTTCTGTCCAGTTATCAGCGAATCATACAATCCTCAACTGGCAAATAAAGGTTAAGCTGGTGTGACGTGGTATTGGCCCCAGCACGGGGCGCCCCTGACTCGGGCACAATCAGCCCTAGCACCCATGTGTACAACGAACTTCATTTATCTCTCAAACTCACGAATTTCCGATCCTGCAGGATGCCGACTGCAGTACGTAGTAGCAAAAAGCCCTTTGATCTTCATCCAACCCGCTTATGCTTAGTATACATTTTGATACGAGGCATCCAACAAGGCTCCGTCACAAACACTCAGCCACTCTCGCCCGGGCAACTACCAATTTCCCAGACCAGGAACGGTTAAATTTCTATTCTTTGTGGTCAATAACTTGCCTGGATGCTTCCCCCATATTGCATGACCTTTTAGGGTTCGTGCTCAGGTGGGGATATAATAAGCACTAGTTGCCTAGAGCGGTCCCTAAATAAGACTGAGGCCCCCCCCATAGACAACTACCTCGGCGCTAGTGGGCGGCTTACTCGGGTTTTCCTGCGCCCTTCGATGGAACCACTAGTCGTGTGTTTGGGGCCTAATAGACTTCGATGCATGTCAGGCTTGGACAAACTCTCCATGGTATATAGACTGCTTTGGTACATTTACCAATCTTTGTACTCTCCTTCCCGTGTCCGGGGCTTGCTCCGACTCACTCTTCGTGGTCTAAGGCTTGGCTGTGCAGCCACGACTATCCTTCCTAGCAGATACAAGATAGTTTTAACCACTGATCCTTCTAGGGTGTTATCTCCATGGTTCTCATATTTCCTGTCATAGCTACGGAGTAAATGTCATTGCGAGCTATTTATGTAGCTATTTCTATGGAATTGGGTACGCTGTAAGATGCTATTCCAACGTAGGTGTATGTATATATCGTGCAATTTGGACACATACATAGCCACTGCATCTCAATACTGAGAGAAATAAGTTTAGTTTAACCACGATTAACAATGCAGCTGTCTTAAAGTGACACGATCTAAAATTGCTGACGTCCATAGATGCCTGGAATTTTCATTGATTGAATGTTGCCTGGCGGGCCTAGATGATAGATAGTGCTTCACTAGAGCATGGGGCTACCTAAGCTGGTGCCGTAGATTTTGGATGCATACAGGAAGCCTATATATAGTGTCAAGCTAACATAATGCGTGTAGGCAGACATGTCTATGGCCTGTGTACTCTGTAATACTCCGTACTCGTGTGAGCATAGTACATGATATGCACGTGTTGTTCAAACTTCGAATGCAGTGTGACTCCCACCGTGTCATCTTTATTTAGGTCAATTTATTTCACAGCCCATATTTCGTAGCTTGCTAGTGTCAAATGTTGCTATGGAATATAGGCTTGTTCAACGCAAGATGTACAATAGATGAGCAGATATCATATGGAGAATGAAGTAAAATGCTATTTTTGAAAGGTCAAACCCCTAGAAAATAGGATTATAGGACTGTCTATAATATGTAAATGATTGTTTTCCAATATTTTCCTAATTACACTCACTCACAAGCTACTATAAAGAGACCAAGCGTAGTCCCAGACAGACCTGAAACAAAGTTAAATGCAAGCGATCGACACAAAGGCGATCACGACTGCTTCTATTGATAAACTATGTGCGGAGTAACAATGATGCGGAATATGGAAAGGATGTGGTACCTTTACATTTAATAAGTTCTCTCAAGTCAGACCAGATGTGAACTCCACTGGGAGCTCCCCCTGCAAGGCAATGTGCACTGCCCACCCCCACTAGGAAAGGGATAGTGCCAATCACGCAATATAGATTTGGCATGTATATCTCTAGGAAGCTTTTAGTCAATGTAGTAGAAGCAATGAGAGGTCTAATGAGATCTGGTAAGTCCACAATGTATCGAGATATGTATACTGTATATCTTGTCTCTTGAAAAATACAGTAAGGAACCAAAACCAAAACCATACCAGTAATACCAATACACAAGCACCCACCAATCGGGAAACCCTGGAAACAGACCCGCTTTGCACAGCCTCCTTCTGCTTCAAACCTTGGAAGTCGACAGAAGAAGGGGGAAATGAATTCGATTCCAGCGTCATTGGCGTTACGCTGATCCTTGAAGCTGACAGCGCTTCGAGTGGGGCTTAAGAAAACTGGAGAGAAGACAAGTGGATGCGTTTGTGTGTGGATCTACAGTATATTGTACTTTGGTGGGCTTGATGAGAAACATAGGGTGCCTTGGCGCGCGATTAACTACGGAGTACTGCGCAGCTGCATACTCCGTATGGCTGGGAATGCACCCGGGGGATAAAGGCAAGGCTCAGACCACGAGTCGACTTATGCATGTTGGTATGCGGTGCAGCCCTAGGGTAAGCCGGGCCCGAATTCAATTACTGTGGACAATTCGAAATGGGGCTTGAGCTCTGTCTCATATCGCCGACGCTGTATTACTCTTTCTCTATCTCTTGATTTTGTGCAAGATGCATGTATTGGTTTGTGGGACATGACACCTTCGTGTTGACCAACGGGGGCGTTGAAGACGAATCACAAGATAGATATCTAGGTAGCCTTCGGAAGACTGATGGCTTGTAGGTTTATGATGTATTGATATCACACTGGTTGTACGGATCAGCAGGGGCATGTTAGCCCGCGTGCTGCCTAATGGGCCTTGCTTTTGTAGACCATGGGCTAGAGCACGGAGGAATGTCCTGTCAGCTTGAGTGGTTTGTCTGGAAGATTGGGAGGCGGTGTTTTCGAGCCTCACTCTCTGGTCGACATTGTCGCTGCCTGTACAGAGTCCAATGAGATGAGACGCAAGGCAGTCAGGTTTTTTTATGGCGACGATTTTCAGTCTCCGCGTGAGGCACGTGCTTCTTCTCAAAAAGTGCCATAATGATGGTGACCTAGCTGTCCAAGAAGTGTGGATTTTTCAACTGGCTCTCAGGTCCGAGCTTAGATGTATCACCTGTCACTCACAAACCCGGTGAGCCTCTTTGATTGGGGCAAGATTACCTGGAACCAAAAAAAGTTGGAAGAATCAAACATGAACCATAAAATGTAAGTTGGAGCTTTAAGCTTTCATCACTCGTAAAACTATGTATGCATGGTGTTCATCACTCGTCATCTTAAAGATTGCCACGCCCAGAGTCGTTAGCTGCCGAGGCCCGCATCCCCGGAGGAAGACGAATGGCAGGGTTAGCTCTTGGCCCCTGAGCCATGTTGACTTGGGCGATATCGACGCGGGCTTTGGTGAGACCAATGGCAGGCACGACCCAACCACCACAGCTGCATCGAAGACCTTGCCATGCAAATTTGCCCACATTGGACCCGCAGATAGGATTGGGGCAAGTAAGGCGCCCAGAGAGAGGGGCATCGTCTGGGTGCGCGCCGTATGTAGTATCCGTGTTAGCCTCAGCTCCGTCCTCGGATGGGAAGAGACTTGGGCGCATCCAGGTCAGAGGGTGGAGGAACACATG